TCAGTGTGTCCTTACCTTTAACTGAATGATTTATCACAACTCCTGACGCACACAATCAGGGCTTCTGGGGAGACAGCTGGATTGTGGGTTTCTGTGTAAGATTATCCTCACAATTCAGCGTTTTAAAGCAGGCAAAAATGAAAATTCTGTCATAATTTATGCAACCCATGACACTCTGCCTTAGCAAGGTTTCTGTGGATCCTAAAAGGGTCTTAATTCTCCCTTCCACAAAATAAGGCTTAAAAAGCTCTTAAATCGGAGCTGAAGTCGTGGCATTAAATGTTGCATGCACTGCAAAAAAATGAACATCTTCCTCAGTATTTGTGTCTTGTTTTCTGTACAAATATCTAGACATTCTTGAATCAAGATATGTTTGCTTCAGATGCAGAATGACTTGTTTTCTGAAAAAAAGAAATTATCAAAAATTTTTTAGTTTATGCTTCAAACAAGAATTATCTGCAAGTGGGGTAAGAAAAATAATCCCCATAATTTCCCCTTTGAATTAATTTTTTTTTCTTACCCCATCAGCAGATAATTTTTCTTGTAGTACACAAAAACTAACAAAATTTTGATACATTTTTCAAAGTCATTTTGCTTCTCAAGTAAATACATCTTGATTCAAGTATGTTTAGATATTTATACAAAAACACTAAGAATCATTTTTTTGCAGTGTAGCAGATATGTGTTTTTTTACTTTTTAGACTGAAGAATTTAGACATTTGCACTGAAAAACAAAACAAGAGTGTAACTTTTTTTTTGCAGTGTGATCAGAAGGTACAGTAAAATTTATTTTCATATTCTAGTGTTTGGAAACAGGGCTATTCAAGCCAGATTGGTAAGGAAGTTGTATTTTTTTATATTTTACCTTCATGAAACCCTGCTTAGAAATGGGTTTGGACTGACATGAGGCCGAGTAACCGATGACAGAATTGAACCCTTTAACATCTAAAAGGCTAATGTTTTTATCTACTCGGCTCATTCGAAGGCTTCTGTTCCTCTGCAGCTTCGTGGGGTTCCTGAAGACCTGGCTGCCTTTCCTGATGATTTGTGGGATCATAGTCACCATCGCCCTTGCCATCAACCTGCGATGACTGAGGCTTCAACACTGAGAGAGATGCTGTTTACATCGAATGCGTCTCAATACAGAGACCTCTGCATCTAGTGACACCGAGACACGCAGACTATCAGCACCATGGTAAATAAGTGAATTACAGGGACTTTTTCCAGTACTGCTTTCATTGCATTTGATGTATTTGTAATATAATCATATCACATACATGGATGGGGCTAAATGAAACATGGCAGCAATTTCCTGTCAAAATGGTTTTCCATAATTTTTCCTAGAACTGCTTGCATTGAAGTCAGTTTTCATCAGTTATCCAGGATGTTCAGGCGTGTATTGTTTTATATTCATGGGAGACTGTAAATTTGCTTATTCCTTAAGATTTTTTATGTTTACATCTTCATTTATATTATATGACCAAATAAAAAAGTGTATCCATAATGTTTGCCCTCATTTTTTTTAAGTTTGTCTTGGATATAAAAATATAATATTGTAAAGAAAGAGAGCACATACACAAGTTTCTGTGGTTTGAAATGCTGAAACAGACTTAGCGTTCTTATAGTGCCGGATCTTTTCTCTTCATTAGTGTTATTTTACTATGGAAGCCTGTTTCTGCCATCGGATAAAAAAAAGGTATATAGTGACTATCTTGCAATTCTGAAAAAAAAAAAAACTTTAAATTGCATGCTACAACGTTGCAAATCTGACTTTTTTCTCGCAATTCAGTTCACATCTCGAAAATCTAAGTTTATATCTCGCAATTTAGACACTTTTTTTTTTTACTCAGAATTCTGATTTTACACTCGCAATTCCATTTTTTTTGTTTCTGCCACAGAGTTAAAAATAAAAAGGTAATTGCAACTTTTAATCTCAGAATTCTGACTATTTCTTGCAATTCTAAAAAAAAAAAATTTAAGTGCAAGCTATAAATTTGCAAATCTGACTTTTTTTTTTCGCAATTCAGTTCACATCGCGAAAATCTACGTTTATATTTCGCAATTTAGACACTTTTTTTTCCCCCTCAGAATTCAAATTTTGCAATTGCGTTTTTTTTCTGCCATGGAATTAAAAATAAAAAGGTAATTGCAACATTTTATCTAATGCTGCGTTCAAGTCCTCCTGGGACGTTCGTACTTACGAGTTGACAAGTCGTAATTACGACGTCAGGTGCGTTCAAGTCAGTTTAGTCGGCACAAGATGGCGGTGTACCTTCTTTTAATAAATTACAAGAAAATACAACAGGGTCTGTTAACTCTGCTTATAGTAAAAGAAGAGCAAAGCGTTCATGTGCGTTCAACTCGTAAATACGATCTATCCGACATGACTTGAACGCACCATCAGAATTCTGACTATTTCTTGCAATTCTGAAAACAAAGAGCCCGGACGCATGAAAATGCGTATAGTATAATAGTAGTTTTCGTTTTTATTTGGCGTACTATTTATACGCACTTTCATGAGATCGGGTTGAAACAAAACAAAAAAATAATTAAAATCGCAAGCTATAAATTCTGACTTTTTTCTCGCAGTTCAGTTCAAAACCTGCAATTCTAAGTTTATATCTCGCAATTTAGACTTTTTTACTCAGAATTCTGATTTTTTTTTTTAAATGTCTGCCATGGAATTAAAAATAAAAAAGCTAATTGTGACTTTTTAAACTCACAACTCTTGACTTTTTGTCTTGCAAATTAGACTTTATGTGAGCAAAAAAAAATTATGAGAAAAAAAGTCTAAATTGTGAGATACAAAATTGCAATTACTTTATTTTTATTATTATTTGTTAATACCTTGGTTAAAACAAGCTTCCATACTTTTCTTCCTGGTGTTTTAAATCTCAGTGTTTGAATCCAATGTGTTTTGTTCATTTTTAGTGGATTTATGAAGTTAGTTCTCAAGTTCACACAGGTGTAGAGAATCACATTAACCATCAACATCATCCACCAACTAACCGCAAACTAACAATACTGACTGTCCTCTTCAGTTGATTTAGCATTTTAAACCCAACAAAATTCTTGAAGTGTTTGTGCATCTTTCTTAACTGCTGTATATTTGGGAATTTAATGCATGACAAAGGAAAGATGAGTGATGCTAATATTGCCTAACAGTGCGGTATACATCTTTACAAAGCAAACGCTGCTCTATAAATGTTCCTTATGGCCAGAGAACACACACTGACCCCAGTCCTGTGAATAGATGGATGTGTTGTGTTGTGGAGTGCATTCAGCTCCACCCACCCTGGCTTCTCCATCTGAGATCAGGAGCTCTTTCTAGGTGAGTGTGTTGCTGAGGAGCATCTACAGCATGTGCACTTACAGCGAACGCGGTGCCATCAGACGCTCCGGACCGTGAGCGCGAGCGCTTGGATGATGCCGCCGGCTGTGTCGCTGACGCTCGTCTGCGCGATGTTGTGCGTCTCCGCGTGCGTCGCGTCGTGTCCGCTGCGCTGCGAGTGTTCTGGAGCTCAGCGCACGGTGCGCTGCGCGTCTGCCGCGTTCCTCCGGGTCCCCGCCGCGATCCCGAGCGACGCGAGCAGCCTGATCATCACCGGAAACGCGATTCACAGACTCGACCACAGCGCGTTCAGCGGACTGCAGAACGTCACACACCTGAACCTGAGCAACAATGGGTGAGAAAGATACTGCTAGTCGACAAAAACTATCTATCTATCTATCTATCTATCTATCGTCATCTACTGTCTGTCTATAGCAATAATGGGTAAGAAAATATATTGTTAGTAAACAATAACTATCTATCTGTATGTCTATATATCAATCGGTCTGTCTATCTATCTATATATCTATCTGTATGTCTGTCTATCTCTGAATGTCTGTCTTTCTATTGTCTGTCTATCCATCTATGTATCTATCATCTATCTTTTTTTAACTTGATTTCTATAGCGCTTTATACAATACTGATTGTGTCAAAGCCGCTTTACAGTGTTAAACTGGAAAATAGTGTTCTGATAATGCAACAGGACAATTTTTTCAGCTAAAGTCAGTTCATTGACGAGTCAGTGATGTCATCATCCAGTTCAGCTCTCTTCCAATAGTGTCTGTGCAATCAGTCAAGCGTTCCCAACCAAGCAAGCCAAAGGAACCAATACTCCATCGGTGACAGAAATGGAGAAAAAAAAACAGGCTCAGTCCGGGTGGCCAGTTCTCCTCTGGCCAGACGAAACCAGCATGATGTGGTTTAATTCCAGCCTGCAACACAGGTGCAGAGGTCTTGTCTGGATCCCGTGGTCTTGTGCCGATGGTTGTTGAGGTGATGAGGTCTCAGCTGACATTCAGGGCTGTAGAGGTCGTCTCTAGGGTAACATGTAAAGTGTGAAAAGCAACGGTCCTAGTACTGAGCCTTGAGGTACTCCATACTGCACTTGTGATCGATATGACCTCATCATTCACTGCTACTATCTGATGACGGTCAGATAAGTAAGATTTGAACCATGACAATGCAATTCCACTAATGCCAACATAATTTTCTAGTCTATTCAAAAGAATGTTGCGGTCGAGTGTCAAATGCAGCACTAAAGATCCAGTAGCACTAATAGAGAGA